TAAGCGTACTTGTATTTTTCATTGATCTTGTGAACCCATCCGAAAATTTTAGCCAGACTCAAAAATTCTTGTTTTGTATCACCAGGAGAACAAACTATTGGATAGACACCAACTGGGAAAATAAGTGCTAAAAAATTTCACTGCCTCCTGGACTATTAGGGTTTTCTCCATATATTTTTGCACCCCATCTGGACAGGTTAATTGAATAGGTATCAAGAAGGTGTAAATACAAAATTTGTATTCACATCTTTCTGATACCTATTCAATCAACCAGTTCTGGTAAGGTGCAAAAATATATGGGAAAACCCTGTACGTTCCAAACACATTCCTAAAAAGCTATACTAAATACGTACGTTAATGTACGTCCCCAAGACGTACCTAAAAAGCCGTACTGAGTACGTCCCTGAATGTACGTACGTGGAACGTACTATTTTGTGGAAAACGACCGTCTTACCCTCGTACGTCGGCGGGACCTAAAAAGTACGTCCGCGGACGTACTTTCGTCCGAAAAAGTACGAATTATGGACGTACTAAAGACGTACTTGTGTTTGTTGGGAAGGCTTCACGGCCTGTTCTAAATTAGGCAATCCAACGACCTGTTCAAATGGCGTCTGGTTGGCAAACAAGAAACAAAAAACAAATGTTTTTTTTTTTTTTGGCAGGATTAAGCCTAGTACTCATAACAGCGAAATTCGTTTTTTTTTTGATATTGCTTCGACACTTTGACGTTTTATGTGTAAATCAAGCGTCAAATTGTCGAAGCAATGTCAAAAAAGAGCGAATTTCGCTTTTATGAGTACTAAGCTTTATCAATACACGGGGCGAGTTCTCAAATCTGACACTTTTCTGACATCGTTGACATGTAACATGTAACAACCCGTATTCTAACCTCATAAAAATTTCAAAATGCCGGCTGGTTGGCAAAAGTAACGTGGTTTGGATTCCCTAATTAGGCTCTCCAAACCACGTGATTTTTCAATATGGCGACCGTGGAAAATTTGACGTTTGTTTGTTTATCTCGAGTTTTTTTGGAATATTTTCAAGCTAATTACACTTTACTTTGTTATAATATACTTTTTGAGATGCAGAGTGAATATTTAAAGACTTGAATGCAGGAAAATCGGGATCTGGGCGAACGATTAGTTTGAAAAAATGTCCAGATGACATTTTGATCCACAGTTCACATTAATGAGCAAATGAAGGCCTAAAAAAGCTTAGATTCTTACGAATATTTCGAAAATGGCTTTATTTCGGATGCAGGAACAGTGGTACTGAAAAATTTTCGCGTTTTAATTGGAAAATTTTAAAACAAAGGGCAATGAAAAAAAACCTGACATCATCCTTGTTGCCTTGTTGAAACTACTTCCACAATCAACTTCAAGACCCGTTTGTGGCATTTTTAATTGGAAGAAACACTAATGAAGTCAATAAAATAAAAAAATGAACAGAGTTCATTCACAAAACAACCACAAAATGCACTTTAAAAAACTTTAAATTACATACTCTCATATACGGGATAATGAACTTCTGCCACGCCCACAACGCACTTTTTGACAGGTCGTTGGAATGCCTAATTGAACATAAAGAGGTTATGTTATCAATTCACCAATCTTGAATGTAGTGGAGATATTCCGTGCGCCAATCGCCGACCTTTAAAAAATAAAGTAAAGGTCCGCCACTTGCGGATTTACATAAAATATGTTAGTTTCACTACTCGCGGATCTTCTTTTGTTTGTTGTTTGTAAAATTGCATCCAGTTCCTCATCCCTTTTATTTTCATTGATGAAAAAATCTCCTAGTGAGACGGAAGATATAGATGAGTAACAGTTTATGAAGAAACCACCAATATCATATATATCATAACTAGCATAACAATACAAGCAAAGCAAAGAAGTACAAAGTTAATGGTTACATATTAAGACTGTCAACACCTCTCAACTTTTGTGTAATTATTTTCAAAGCTCAACATGATATTCTCAAATTTGAGAATTTTCTGAGAACGTCTGAGAACTAATATCAACTTAATTATAGCCAATTATTAGATACGCAACTATCAGGTTATAAGGCCTAAAAAAAAACATAGAAATATCTATTGAAATCAGAAATCCAAGATTGAAATCTAAAATGACGTCTTGACCAAGTCAAGATTGTCATAATTTTTCATTTTTGACACCTGAACAAGAGAGGAAAATGTCACTTTTCCTCCTGCTATGTGCGCAATCTTTTTTTCTGATGAGGCGATGAGCAGTCTATCTTTGTCTAGTATGTTGGAATTTGAAGTCATCATTTCTGATTTGAAAAGGTGAATACAAAAAATGTCGAGACTTGTGTCTGACTTGAAATCGCCTAAAACTAGGGCCTATGCGACGCGGTTAGGTGGAAGAATGTTACCGCGAGAATTTTCTATTAGAGAATATTCTCGGGAATATTCTCGTTCTCGAGAATATTCCAAGGTAGAGTCATATCACCCATGTTGGATTTTTATCAGTTGAAATTAAATAAAAATATATGATGACAATAACCAATCAACGACGGAAACAAAATTGTATTCGTGCGAGGTCCGTCGGAGGATAAATTGCAGAACTCCTGTCCTAGTCCTAAGCCTTGGTTAAGCGTGAAGGGAGAGTTTAAAGTTTAATTTAGATAAATAATATTCCACCAAATGGAAATCATGATGAAAGGGAATTTCTGATCTCCTTGTATATTTGTGAGTATTCCTTCCACAAAAAATTGATCGGTAAGAGGTAAAACTGTGAGCAGTATTTAACTTGAAGTAAACATTCACACACACGACTTGAAGTTGGAAAATGACACATTTTCATATCCAACTCGTATATCGACGTGGAGAAAATTAAGGTCAATATCCACCTTCGAAACACTGTATTTTCAATAATATTGAAAATATCAGAGTGAATAAAAAATGAAAATGTTCGGAAAAGATCAGGCTACAATTTTGTGTTGAAAACTGTTCTGAATTTCCAGTGGTTCACTCCACTGAAAATTACTGACTGACTGAATTACTGATCAAGCTACAATCTGTGAAAAATTCATCGAAATCGGGCGGAGGGTTCAAGAGAAGACTGATGTCAAACTTAATGTAGGTAATAATTTTGTCCGTTCCCCTTATTTTGCTGGTGTGTGTATTATCCCTATAATGTCATAAAAAAATTGGAAACTGAATTTTCTTAACTGTATACCCTATGAAGCATCCCGTAATAATATAATTGTGATGTTTTCGGAAACTTCTAAATAGTGCTTTTGAGAGACAACAGAACGCTCTATGAAATCCTTTCTATACAAAGCGTCTTTGAAAAGTTAGAGGCTTTCGACGTTAAGGATTTTTGCATTACAACAAATTTGCCAGTTGCCTGATGGATTAAAATTAACTCCTAGGGCAGGTGACACACTGGAGAAATAAGTTTTGTAATAATGAAACAAATTTTCAGTTTCTTGCAAGAAGTTCCGTGAAACTTATTTCTCCAGTGTGTCACCTGCCTTTAGAAGGAAATATTTTAAATTGCTATTAAATAAATTTAGGCTAAAACTAAAAATTAGGTATATGATAAAAAATCTTACTAACACAACTATTAAACAATCAACCCGCATCTTTACTTCCGTCGCATTTCCTGTTCTAACACACAAAATGTCACAAATTCACTTCACTAATTCGAGGTTTGTTTACCAACTACAACTGAAAACCGACGGACAACATTTTTAGCCTTTCCACTTTTTGTTCCAAGCTGGCGACCATGTGGAACCAAACTACGTCACGAGGTTCTCCTATTTCGGGCTGTGAGAATCAAACCTGAACTAATCAGGATTTTGGGTTACCAATATTCAAGAACTAATCGTATCAATGGTTTTGATTGTATTTACTAAAATGATTTATTAAATCATAAAAGCTTCAACTAGAAAGCTGGTGCTTTAAATATCAATGCAAATATTTGGCCATTTTATTATCAAATACCTATGTACCTATTATAAACAACTAAATTACACAAATTAATAGGACAAGTTACATTTTCAAGGATGTCGTTACAGTAATTAGGAAATAATTACTTACTTAATAGGGCTATAATGTGTGTTTCCTCAGCGGACTAAAATTTATAAAATAACTACATACCTATTTAAATCTACTTTGCATCAAATCAAAGAAACCCTATATATGTTTGAAATGCCTTTAAATTTCCATGCACATTAAAATGTAAGTGTATTCCCTACTTGGTAAAATGCCAACTTTCTAACAATTTGCCCTTTTGTTAAGTACAAAATTTTTGTTTTATTTCCCTGCAGTTGGAGGATTCACAAGTTTGGAAAATTGTCAAGACTATTAAGAGATATTGAAATCAAAGGTATAGAGATATTGAAATCAAAGGTATTGCGGACTTAATAATACAATTAATGAAGTTTACAGAAAAACCAATATCCAAAATTCCTTTTCTAAAACCATAAAATTTATTATTTCATGATGCAAAATCATTATTTTTTCGCTGAATCTTAATAATTCTAATTTCATTCAAGTTGCGTACACTTAATTAAACATTACGGTGCGATGTGGATTTAATTACAGACATTTTGGTTTTCTTGATCTTTTAGGCGCTCTCGCTCGTAACTTTTTCATGCTTTCACTGAACGGAATAATTAAGGAGAAAATTGAAAATAATTAAATGTATGGATAATCGGTTTGACCATCAACATCTGAAAAGTAAAGATTTACGTTGCATTTTTTTAAGTGTGTCTAATTTAATTTATTTGATTTTATAGTGACTTAACAGAGTAAAAACCAAACCCCTTTATTTAAAAATTTATTAACCACTTTGCTCTGACCCATATTTTCCGGCCGATAATTCTGTCCTATAACCCTTTGAATAGGTATTACTATACTTCAATAGCAAAATTATCATACCGGTATTATTGCAAATTATTATGCTTCCTGTTGTACAGAACAGCATTTTAAGGTCTAATCTATAATATTAATGTAATAATGATGTATTCATTACCTTGGTGTACTTGAAGCGGAAAGAGACATGATGCACCTACGCAATATTGATTCTGACGTCGAAATTCACCCCATTTGTAGACTTGCAGTTTTTCAAATAAGGGAGAATGTTGGAGATTTTCAGCTGTTCCCGCACATTACAAAAACGAAACGGAGGGATGAAAGTGGAGAATAATTGCTGACATGCGCCGAGTTTCTCCAAGTTTGCGGAAATTGATAGTGATGTTTTAGTACGAGGGTGAATGGTTTTTCTACTTTTAGGACTAAACTATGATCCAACTTGATGGCTGTACATTTTTCCAAAAAGATTCACGGAAATTGCTTTAATTAGACTTTGAAAAACAAGAATTTCAATTCGATTCGAAGAGGGCAATAATATAATGACGACAAACTCGTAAATATTAATTTATTAATTACCTCATCGCTGTAGAGTGTTGATTAAATTCAAAAATCACCAAACGTTGTTTATGGATGCACTGCACTATTTGTTGTCCATCACTACATTTAACTGGTAAATATAAATAAAGTCAACCGCTAACTTCAAAAACTATTAAATATTTCCGACGTCAATGGTTGCCCCAAAATGCCTAATTAGAATTTTGTAACACTTTCTTATCAGTTTGGTTGCATTGCATATTAATTATAGCTGAATAATTCATTTTCAATTTTCTTATTTTTCTTACAAGGGGTGATTCATTTCCCACTTAGGATTATAATTAAAATGGATATAAAAACTACTAGGAACACAATTCTTATCTTAGAATTTAGCAAACATTTGTTCTATAAAAATAGATCGTGTAACAAAATAAATATTTTCCATTTAATCCCTATAACAAAAGTGGACCTTGATGAATCAATATATTGTTGTGAGAATTTTGTGTTCATCAGACAAGCCCACAAATTAATTAGTTGAGGAATTTTGTTGGTATTTGGAAATTTGATTATAATTTGTTACAAAAAATCAAACTTTTTAGGTAATTTATTTCTTGTAGAGTTTAAACAAACATTACTTCAACTTTTAGCAACAAAATACAGACTATTTTCTAATAATTATCTAATCCCTACAATTTCACCTTGTATCATATAAATAATAACTTTGCGATAATAATTATGGTTGGCGGCACCTTATCACTATATTGTTTTACGTGAACTAGAAATGTATACAACGCTACACAAGATGCGGGTAACTATTTTGGCAAAAACCCCAAAATGAATTTCCAAAAGCAGCAATTTTCTTATGGAGGCAAGTTGCTTTGCACAGCAATACAATGACACCCTATCACTACACTATCTGTGTGTCGCGAAACCAGCACTGAAACTTTAATTTTTACGCTAAAAATGTGGATTTTTAATATAAGCAAATGTTTGCTATGATAAGCATATTATAAATTTTAGACCGCAGACATTAGATTATAATTAAGCATGACTTCTACTCCAGTAGGAATAAAACTGTTCGCATTTATCGTTTATTTTTTGCCATCCGAGTATAATTATTTTTATATAGGTAGACCTTCCTACTACGATGGAACGTTTTGGAGGTCATATTCGCAAACCCAATACCTAATTACATATTATTTAGGGTCCTAAAAAAGTTTCCTACTATAGAGGAGTCAATGAGCTTACGAATAAGGCTCTCTTGAAAACAGACAACCTTCATTTCCTGTACAATAGCCGAATAGCCCGGCAATAATATGTCATTGCATTATTTTTATAGGTGAGGCTAAATTGTGGTCTTAACTTACATTTTTACCATAGGTACCCAAGGTTTTTCCCAAACGTAGTTCTTTTTTTAAATATTAAACTGAAACAAAACAACGCCGGATATCCGCGGTTTGTTTTCCAGCAAAACTGTTCCGTTCGATAATAATTATTAGCAAACACGAAAAACTGTATCAGGAGTCCAAGGTTAATTTTTTTTTTCTAAATCAAGGTCTAGGGCAAGCTGTGATCCATTAGAATAATCACTTGTAACCCTTCGTCACGCGAACTTTGACTGGGGCGATTGCAATAAAACATCGCAGAATGTACCATGGAATAATTAGAAACTAATTAAACGTGGAAAAAACACAAAAGTTTAAAATCCTGCCACTTAAACATCTCTGATTTTTTCTTTTTATTTTGAGCTTAAAACATTCACAGCTATGTATAGGTACCATCTAGTGGAGTAAAATCAAAATGAAATTATGACTTTGAGTGATTCCCAGGTATAACCAGATGAAACCTATACCATCTTGTAGAACACACTTTGGGGCGTAGGAAATGGGAATGTACAACTTTTTTTAATAGGACTGAACTTTGGAATCGGCCCTTAAACGTGACTGAGCTCGAATTTGAAAAACTACATTTTTCTAAACATTACCCGCTGTATTAATTTAAGAATACAATCTAAAATTTTGATTTTTTGCACATTTATACTTGAAACATGAGCGCTTCTAATGACAGTTCAGAAATTTCGAAAAGGTTCAAGGTTTTTTTGTTAAAAAGTTAAGAATATAGAATTATCAAAATCGTGCATCTAAAACTTCACCATGCGGCGAGCAATGTGAATTATTGAAAATTTCTATACATATATATCGAATCAAATGTAGTAAAAACATTGACGAAGTTTAAGAAAAAAATAATTAAGTCGCTAACTTCAACGGTTATAGAAATATAAATTTTTATCCGGGAGCTTTAGAATGCGCTCTGATGCTGAAAGCGGCTAGCAGCTACCATCCTGGAAATCATCTGCGTTAGTACGTTAGCGTTACATCTAGAAATAAAATTAAAAAAAACTATAAACATAAAATAAGTGATTGAATCGTTTTTTATGAAGTTTACTTTAAATGTTTTCTTCTTCGTCATCCTCATATGATTTAGGAACATTATTTTGACAACTTTTGCAGGAACAATCGCTGGAGCATGTTAAACCCTCTTTCAAGCAGACGCCTTTATTATTTTGACATAATTTATCTTCGCGGAAGATATTCATTAGATGCCTTATATCCGTTGGTATGGGATCAGCAGTCATCAAAACAGGCTCAAGAATTCCAATATTCCTAGTCCAACCAAAGTTAACAGGGTCAAGTATAGGCATAATAGGTATGGAACTGGACATCCATATACGCAGTTGATATATGCACCTGAAATTTTGGCTATCGCATAAATACAGCTTCTTTTGTAATATAACTACACTTAGCTCAGTACATGCTGGTAAAATGCATCATCTGTAGGTGGAAGTTCTGAAGTGGACTTATTGGAAGTTGTGGCCAATTGATACCTCAATTCATCGAGGGTTTTTATGTCCTCGTTCTTATTTCTGAATAGGGCCAATGCAAATTTGGTGGCAATATAAACAGCTTCGCTTGTAGACACAGAGTTCAGTTTTGATAACTCATTGAAGGCTCCAAGATTAATCTATTGAAAACCACCGTTATCCTCAGTGCTTCATACCTTCGACCAAGTGAAAGAATTTGCTTCAGAAAGAAAAATAGATGCGAGTTCATTAAAAAAGTTAAGTTGAGACTGCTTTATTATTTAATCCTTGAATAAGTACCATGCCATCTATTATAAGTGAATTGAAGGGGGTTTGACCCAAAAATGAAGTTGTGCGAAAAATTCTGAGAACAAATATTTGAACTGCATCTTGCTACGATGAACCGTTTTCGAGTAAGGGTGGTTTAAAGTGACAAACGCCTAGGCTGTGACGTTACACCGGCTTCGTAGGCACAGTTAAAATATGTGTAAAATTTTCGAAGACAAAAGTCAACGATCTCACTTAAAGTATAGGGCACGGTTCAACCACTGAACAAACAGAAGGCTATGATTTCGGCAGGTAGCCGGTGTGACGTCACAAGTTCCCGCAAAATTTATCTTCATGAAGAATTTTCTCGGATGTATTTTGAATAAAAGACTGCGGTTTTCACGAGAGATCTTAGATTTTTTTTCTTGATTTAAGTAGCTTAATAAGTTGCTTTTTTTGGTCACACCCACTTTAAGATCAGTTCGAAGAGAAGCAATGTTGAATATCGTTGAAACTTTGATACTAAATCCTAAATTAGACTTAGCTGTTTTTCGCATACAAACGCACAAAACTGGAAAAGTCAGAAAATGCACCTGCGGTGAATGCACGAACAATTCCGTCGCCACGCGGTTCACGCTGGGCTGAGCGCACTCCAGGGCTCTTGGATAAAAATTTATATTTCTATAACCGTTAAAGTTAGCGCCTTAATTTTTTTTTTTTAAACTTCGTCAATGTTTTTACTACGTTTGATTCGATATAGGTATATGTATAGAAATTTTCAATAATACACATTGCTCGCCGCAGGGTGAAGTTTTAGATGCACGATTTTGATAATTCTATATTCCTAACTTTTTAACAAAAAAACCTTGAACCTTTTCTAAATTTCTGAACTGTCATTAGAAGCGTTCATGTTTCAAGTATAAGTGTGCAAAAAATCAGAATTTTAGATTGTATGCTCAAATTAATACAGCAGGTAATGTTTAGAAAAATGTAGTTTTTCAAATTCGGGCTCAGTCACGTTTAAGGGCCGATTTCAAAGTTCAGTCCTATTAAAAAAAGTTGTACATTCCCATTTCCTATGCCCCAAAGTGTCCTCTACAAGATGATATAGGTTTCATCTGGTTATACCTCGGAATCACCCACCCTCAGAAAACAGCGAGTTAGAGTAGTGATTTTATTCCACTAATCGATCATATACCTATAAAAATAGTATATTGTGTATTTAGGTGGAAAAGTGACACATTCTCGGCCGACGGTGTAAGTTGACGGGCGAGGCGTTGCCGAGGCCGGCAAACATCGAAGGCCGAGAATGTGCTTTTCCACCGAAATACCCATACTATTTTTTCTGCGATCGGTTAAATACCTGTTAAATGTCTTTTAGTTCCAATTATTCAGCAATACGAGAATCACTTTCCCGGCCTAGGCCGGAAAAGTGTTTCCCGTATTGTTATTCATTGATTCCTTCGCAACTATTGAAACATAATTGAAATACCAGAATATTGAGTTTTGCGACCTGTCAACCGGTCAAAAATGCTGACATTTCTTGTTAATCGCAGAAAAAATAGTTTTCACACCCATAAATAGCGATATTTTATGGTTTTTCTTATTATGAGCATGCTTAGTATTGAAATGTTTCAATGACTAAAACGTTTGTTCATGAGTAGGTGCTTATTTAAAATACAAAGAGTTTCAATAAATATTTCAATTTCAAGGTAATTTTTTTCCCATAATGGGCAACTCTTGCATGCAACTCTAAAAGTCGCAACCACTGCCAGAACATCGTCCTCTACAACATTTGACTTTTTTGGCTTGGCTGTATTATTATATCTTTGAATA